GCGAGGATCACCTAATTCTCCTGTGTTCCAGTGGCAGCCCGGGGAAGGCAAGTTCGACTGGGTAGCATGCAGTTAGTTACCCTGGAATCCTTCCCTTTTTAGGGCTCGCCCAATAGCGCAGTTGATAGAGCGACTGTCTCCCATACTGGAGGTTGAGTGTTCGAGGCTCCTAGTGCCCAAGTGAATGAAAAGTATTTACACCTTCTATTTAGAAACTGTCTCTCATAGGTGACCAGTGTCACACACCACACCATATGAACCCATAGTGATGCCTGAAGGTACGACACACTGGCGAGGAGTGAGACACACTGGCGAGGAGTGAGACACACTGGCGAGGAGTGAGACACACTGGCGAGGAGTGAGACACACTGGCGAGGAGTGAGACACACTGGCGAGGAGTGAGACACACTGGCGAGGAGTGAGACACACTGGCGAGGAGTGAGACACACTGGCGAGAGTGAGACACACTGGCGAGGAGTGAGACACACTGGCGAGGAGTGAGACACACTGGCGAGGAGTGAGACACACTGGCGAGGAGTGAGACACACTGGCGAGGAGTGAGACACACTGGCGAGGAGTGAGACACACTGGCGAGGAGTGAGACACACTGGCGAGGAGTGAGACACACTGGCGAGGAGTGAGACACACTGGCGAGGAGTGAGACACACTGGTGAGGAGTGAGACACACTGGCGAGGAGTGAGACACACTTTAGAGGGGCCAGACACACTGTAATGGAAGGATGAGGCCTCCCTAATAAGAATAATTTGATTTGTATCTATGCAGAAGGTTGTGGCGGAATGGATTATATTTAGAAGGAGAAAAAGGTGGAGAAAAGGCGAAAAGGAGAAAGGTAGGAGAAGGAGAAAGGGAAGTTGTATCCAAGTAGCGCAGTTCTCCATGAACAGGTTTTGTATGTAGTCGATAAACGTAATATCAACCAATAACTTACCCGAGGGCCACTCTCTCTCTAAGTTATAAGCCTACCCAATATACTGTGACGTCCATGATGTGTAATCTAATATTGTCTGGTATTTGAGATTTAATTTATAATATGAGGAGGGTAGGTATATGTAACCTCAATAATAATAATATAATAATAATAATTCATTGTGTCGGGGGACAGTCAGCCAGCGAATGTATATAATAATAATATTATATACGTGCTAGGCTTTTAACGAGGTCCCTTCTCACTCCAAGGTCGAATTATTAGCCCTACCCAGGATGCAACCCCACAACAACCTTCTCGGGCCTTTGTGCCATCTGTAATCCTTTTTTTGCGCTACCGCTCACAGGATGAGTAACCCAACCACTTGGGCTGGACGGTAGAGCGACTTTCTCGCTTCATGCAGGTCGGTGTTCAATCCCCGACCGTCCACGTGGTTGGGCACCATTCCTTCCATTCCCCCGTCCCATCCCAAATCCTTATCCTGACCCCTTCGCAGTGCTATATTGTCGTAATGGCTTGGCGCTTTCTCTTGATAGTTCCCATAGTTCACAGGATGAGTATGGGTGCACAATACACTACCCTCCTTTGGCGGCAATAACTAAAAAAAAAAACTAGAATAACTCTTTGATACTTATTTACTGCTAAGTGAACAGAAGCATTAGGTGATAGGAAACGCATTCAACCATTTCAGTCTCGCTCGGGATTCGAGCCTGAAATCCCACATTGTGAGTCGAGAACGAATCCGATTGTACTAACGACTGTTAGTTGCCTGTGTGACCTCACCTTGTGATGGTCACAGCGTGTGACCACAACATTGTAGGGTTAGAATCTCCACGAGACCTTTTACACACTCAACACGGTTATTCCAGAAGCAACAACAGTTTCTACTGAGAAAGGTAAAATATTTATTCCATTAGTATGTAATCCTGAAAGAAGAGGCAGCGAGTTATGGGTATCTCAAGATAAGATAGATAAGGGACACGCTTTAGGAGCAAACAGAAGGGAGAAAGGATGGGGTTAGACGATAATTTTAGAGAAGGGATTAAGCTTTATGGGAAGAATGCATTAATGTTAATGGCATTACAAGAATGTAAAACTTCAATGGCCTTTACTGTCATAAATCCAATGTACCTTCTTGTATATAAATAAATAAATTAAAATAATCAGACAAGGATGACGGAAATGTGGAGAAGGACACGTAATGATTAATCCGTGTCCTCCTCCTCCACGGGGCCGGCGGTTATCTTGAGGTTATCTTGAGAGGATTTCGGGGCTTTAGTGTCCCCGCGGCCCGGTCCTCGACCAGGCCTCCACCCCCAGGAAGCAGCCCGTGACAGCTGACTAACACCCAGGTACCTATTTTACTGCTAGATAACAGGGGCATAGGGTGATAGAAACTCTGCCCATTGTTTCTCGCCGGCGTTCGGGATCGAACCCGGGACCCCAGGGTCCAGTGTGCTGTCAGCTCGGCCGACCGCTCCCCGACCGGCGGTAGGTGTAACGTACGATTATGTTACGCTATTTGATTAGTTAGATATGGAATAAACAATACGAAATATGTGGAATAAACAACGTGGGAGGGTGGAAAGGTACGCCGAATAGTTGAGGAAAGAGGTCACGGAAAATATACAGGAAAGTGGAGAGCGGTAAAAGGTCAACAAGATGGAAGGGATTAACATGAGTAAAGGACTGTAGTCAAGAATAAGGATTGGCGAAAGAGGAAACTGATAAAACTGTGAAGGGTTCGAGGGGTGGAACTTAGGCAAATAATGTGGGGAAGGGAACTAGTAAGAGAAAGCTATATAGCCATAAGTCATTATGGCTATATAGCACTGGGAAGGGATCAGGATAAGGATTTGGGATGGGACCCTACCACTTGGACGGTCGGGGATTGAACGCCGACCTGCATGAAGCGAGACTGTCGCTCTACCGTCCAGCTCAAGTGGTTGGGTAAATAAATAATGTGGGGAATGAAAGGGGATTTTTATATAATTGGCTCTCCTAATCTTGGATATTATATGGTCCACATTATTTTACCTAAACTCGCTTCGGGGCCACCATCTATCTAATGGCCTCGACAGGGACAGGAAGCCGCCGGTTGACGAAGAACTCTTTTTTTTTTTTTTTTTTTTTTCCTCTACCCATTTTCCCTGAAAATTTTTTCCAACCGAATTTTGAACTGTAGTAATGACTTGGCATTTACGGTTTTGGTGGATGGGTTTTTACCCTACGAGTGAAAAAGCAACTGTTTTCTGTCCAACATTGTGGCTTGCTGAACTTGAAGCTGTTGCCCCCATGTATATGTTATATTTGACATTTTTAAAGAAGTGGTCTGGATTAAAATCCTTCAAATTGTTCAGCGTTTTTAAAGGTCTTGATGAGAAAAGCCCTGTCATGTCTGATTTGCAGTAATTTTAGTCCTGTATGAAAGTTTACATAGTTCTGGGATGATGTTTGCTGCTCTGTACTGATCTTTCTACAAAGCAGATTAGTCGTTCTGAAGATGAGGTCTCCATTCTTGGATACAGTAGTCCAAATTGGCTGCAGCAGATTTCTTCAGTTGAATAACCACTTTTTTTTCCTTGAAATCAAAGGTTCATTTCACTATTCCTAGGATTTGGTTGGCTTAATATTGTTACTATAACTTCCACTTGTGCAAATTTCAGTGACTGGGGAATTCTGACTCCTAGGTTCTTTTTCTTCTTCAAGGATGCTTTATGGTAGTGTTGTTCATTTGATAGTTGTGATGTGTATCATGTCCTACATGCAAGGTCTTGCACTTCACAATATTAAAAAGCTTTTGTCAGTCTTTGGACCACCTGTGGAGTTTATGAAGGTGTCTTTTTATAAGGCTTTAATATCGTTTTCGCTTCCTATTTTATTGTACATATTGGTCGGGGTCAGGAAGCTGGTTACGATTATTAAGGTCCCCCACCCATAGGCAAACAACTGATTTTTCAGAAGAGTGAAACCCACAACAATAGACTAAGTCCTAAGTGGCTATTTATTGCTAGGCAAGTAGAAGCATCAGGTGTAAGGAAATGTGGCCAAATGGTTTTATTCTATTTTGGAATTGAACTTGGAACCATTCGGTTGAGAAGGCCAACTTCTCAAATAATACATTTAAAGTTGCAGAGATGCAGGTCTCGTATTAATATCTCAGAAAATAATTATTTAAAAAAAAATATTCATAGACTATATAAAAGTACAGTAATGCAGAGTTGAAGAAGAAAATGAGATGTGTGGGAGTGAAAAAAGAGAAATCTGAGAATAATAGCAAAACCATAGGAAAAGTTGAGGAGTGTTGCCAGATGCACACCCACTGTGTCTCGTTGCAAACAGCTCGTACTCTCATAATGTCAGAAAGTTGGAAACGTTATTCTGGTATTACAACAAAGGCTGGTAAAACAGACAACTCCAACAGACACTGGTATTGGCATGAACAAAAATATGCACAAATACAGACACATATTGTAAATTAAGATACAGTATTGTCAAGTGGAAAAGCAATGACTGGATACTTTGATGACCATTGTGCTGCTGCAAATATTGCATGCCAGGGGAGCTATGTCATATGTCATAAGAACTTTTTCACATTTTGATTATCATCAGCTTGGGTTTGGCAACTCCTGCTTTCAGTTGGTGGCTCTAGCATCCTTGGAAAAAATCTTTTGAAGTTTATACCTGTGCCCACCAACCCTCACTGACATCATTTACCTTCATACACTGCAGTTACCATGAGCCAAATTAACACACTGACAAACATAACTTGCTCATTTCATTGAGCTTATGGATATTTAACATGTATTCAGAAACTGATTGAATTTAATTACTGTATATTATTTAAACCTGTTAAGAAATGAGCAGAGCTGAAAGTAGGGTGGTATTTGTGAATCAACACGAGCTTGAAGTTTCGCGCGCTCTCCTTTTTGGCTTGATGTAAGAACACTACAACCAGCAAGAAGATATTTGGTCGTGTTATTTTAACTTTTACATAGAAATCACTTGGATAAAGTTTTAGGAATAAGTGTTGCATCAAATTAAACAAATGTACTGTGTATTAAACAATTTATTAACAATTAACTTATACAGTACAGTATGTACAATTATAAGTTTCATAAATATTTATTACAAACATTTTGTATATTCACAATTGGTATACTAGCTACAGTATCATTCTTTCTTGAAGACACAAGAGCCTTGCCTGTCAAGGCAGTGTTTCAAAGTTTCTTGAGCCTCAAAATAGACTTTATTTGGTTGTTCGACATACTTGTCTATAAGTTTAATAATCTCACAAACAATGTTAAAGTTCTCAGTTGAATTTGTGCCTTCAATAATGCTTTTGTAAGCATCATCGTAGTTAATTACTGCTTGTTTGATCTGCTTGTCAATATCAGTGCAATAATATGAACCTACACCTGTTCCAAGATCATTGCCTGCAGACTCGTTATATTTCAGCTTACATTTTGTACACTCCTGCTTGTCACAGTTTATTGCTTTTGAACATTTTAGACATTTAAGCTTCAGTTTTGATGTTAAACTGAGGTAAGTGGGCCAGTTATATTTACAAGGGTCACATGAACAGTGAAAATAATATTGTTGCATAAGAGTAGCCATCCTACTTTCAGCACTTTTTATGCCATAGTGCTCACCGTAGCAATCGGTCACTTCCTCCCCGTGTGAGATAAACCGTATGGCTCTCAACACAACCACACTTCCATAGCTGGAGCGGGCTGCTGCTGGATTGCAGGAGTGGTTAGTTAGACTCAGCACACCAAAAGCTCCACAACCAATTTCTTGGGATGAACTCCTATGATAATTACTCACATCCACCTGCAGTGAGAAGAGTTGATTAATATTATGCCACAATGAAAATAATAACTGATTAACTCTATCTTTTCATTAGGTCCCTTTGATATACTATCATAAAAAATAACTTCATGCAGTAGTGTACCACATATGACCATTAACAAGGTACATATTAGTAAAGAATATTTAGAGGTAGATTAAAAGTGAAAGCAAGATTAGAATGAGAATTTTCTTCCTGCATTTTGCAGGGTAAGGACCATTAAAACTCTAAGCCTTATTGAAGACCTAACTCTATTATACTGTCACTGAAATTTGATCTGTCAATGAATTTGCATAAAAACCCCATCTAGATTATGTAAATCGTTTTTTAGCACCATACTATGGAAAGGACATCAAATACACTGAAAGTGTAGTCATCAGTGGACACAATTAAGAACCCTTGTTTGTCTAATCATAACACTTAAAAAAGTAATAAACCCACATCTTGATAAAAACATTACCATGATTAACATTATTTTAAATTTGCTTTCATCTTCCACATCAGCTACTGACTCAGGAGTATTATGTTGGAGAATTATGATTTTAAAAAACATTTCTGCTATCTTAAAAAATGCATACTGATTTTTTCTACATTAAACTACATAAAATGTTATGTACTGTAGTGTACTAAATACATATAACATTTTAAAATATAGAGAGAGGCAATTTTCGAGAGGTTGCAGGATCCAAGTATGTCCAGTAGAACTTCTGGTTTCAATTCTTTTTTTGACCATGTTGTAGCTCAGTCGAGTAAGGCAGTGTCTGGGAAGATCTCGGGCATAGGTTCGAATCCTCGTCACAGCCCTTGTGGATTTGTTCATTGATGCATCACGCTATTGTGATTTCTGTGTGTAAGGAGACAGTAGCTATGTGGCCCACTACAGAAGGTAGCATCCTTTTCCTTTTAACAATGTCTTAATTGTCACGCTAAGTTACAGCAAGGTATGTCTGCTCTTCGCAGTACTGTGTATAGGGTATAAACATGTGCCCTCATTTTCTTATCTTTATAAGCCAGTGTTGCTGTCACACATCGATGTTCTGTACATGATTACGAATGTATTGGTGTTAAATGTTCACATCTATCTCTATCAATCTGTGTATATGCACATTATATAGACTTACTGTACTGGACATTCAGAATATACTATACCTACACTGTACTATATCCAGTATTGACATGTGTTACTATACAACATAGGTCAATATGACCAACATGTGACCACGAGTCTTCAATAGTTATTGTTGTATTGTCCCATATATTCATTGGGAAATTTAAAATATTAGTGTATAAAATCTCAAAACATTGAAGAAAAGATAATCATTCAATCCTAGGCAGATACAACAAGCAGGAAAACCTATATGCTGACAAAAAACATACAGTGGGAAACAAGACAACTTTACCTGTAACTCAGTGATGGAGTGTGCATTACAAGGCAAGTTCATCATGTGGACAAAGAGGGTGCAGCCAGTAAGAAGAATGTCATTGTGGGTGGGAACAAAGGGCTCACCCATTGCATTCACAAAGAACGTGCGACTCTCTTGCAATAGTTTAGTCAGAATGAGAGCCATGGCACACCTCTTGAACAGGTCACTGACAGATCGGCTTTTCTTGTTGGTAACTAGATGATAGATAGTTCTGTAATCGGAAGAGTCATATATTCCACTGTCATTAAATCCTAGAGTTTCAGGGGCACATTGCCATGCTTCACTTAAGAGGATAGGCACTGTATCTTGAAGGTAAATGTATGAAGTCTGTATTACTAGCCTATATGCTAGTACAGAATTTTTGCCCATGTCTAGTGCAGCCAGAGCAGAAATTGTGCAGCATTCCCGACCATGATATGAAGCCAGACCACGTATTCGACAGGCACTACTACAGAATACTACCTGTAAGCAGATAAAAATGCTATACAGTACAGCGTAAACATATATTCAGATGAATATTATATACTGCAATATTTTTAAAAAACTTTGTTTAATTTATTAACTTTCCATATTAAGGAATGGAAAGATAAATCCAGATGTATATAAATAAAAACAGTATTTTATATACTGTACCTAGACTAATTTGACTGCTACATGGAGTTGACTGTGGAATGCACCATGTGCCTAACATGTAATAGGTTAAGTACTGTACTAAATTCTAAACATTTTAAAGTAGACTGTAAATTTAACAAATGTATTAACCAAATACAGTACAGCCAAAATATATGTAGCAAAGCAGTAAATTAAACATGAAAGCAATGAGGGATGGGAAGCAATTTAACAAGCAAGTACAGTAATAGGAAGAGAAGGGGGAGATAAAGTAAAATAAACAGGAAATCAAGAAGTTGGAAACAAGAGGAGGCTTTATGGATTAGAAGATATTATACTCATTTCAGTGTTGTTCACATGCCAAACTGAAAGATTTTAGAATTTGGCACATCACACCATGTACAAGGGAACAGGAACTCTGAATAATCAGTGCATTAGTAGGAAATAAGTTGGATAATACAAATACTCTATTACTGTATAACTATCAAGGAAGAAATGATTCAGGATTAAACAAAAAAGACAAAAAGACCACCACTTGCAATTATATGATGCATCATTGCTTTCACTGATTAGGCAGTGAGTGTTATTTTGCCAGACATTAAAATGAAGCAAAATCTCTGTATTATTTGTTAGGAAACCCCTACAACACACAAAAATTTGAATCTCGACACTCAAATTATTTGGGGTATTTATTTCAGAGAAGCTCTGCTCATGAAATAGTTGTCAACAATTTTATAAAAGCAGGCATCGAAGCACATCCATGCTTATTTAAGTTATATTCCATGCTACATTCATCACATTAAGGTAATAAAATTAATAACAAATCCATAATAGATTTGTTAAAAATAGTACATAAAGAAATTAAAAAACAAACTATAAAATGGCTATAAACAAAAAGCTTGAGAAACAAAGTTGTTTGCATGTTTAACACATGGCAAGATCATTGCAGTATGGTGATGCAACAATGCTCTTGTGAAAAGAATTGGAGTAGTGAACACAACTTCTGAATTCAATCGGGCATGGAACAGTAACTTAAACAATAGATGAACATTAGGTATTTAACCATGAACAGTGAAAGTATAATACAATGAAAAAGAAGTTCAAATTGTGGGTGTGTGTAAAACTGCTAACACTATAAGGCATATAACAGTAATTAGGCATTTTTCAGCTTTTCCACTGAAAAGAAAATCTGAGAGAGAAAAGACACATTCTAGGAGGCAAAATATAAGGAATTTATTGCTTATAAATTTAAAGAAGGGTAGCCAAAGGGCTTGGCTACCCAAGACCTAGGCAAATTGCCCTTGGATTCTGAAGCTTGGCTGGTTTATTCCTCAAGCCTGGAAAACCGTGCATTATAGCATTAGTAGCAGCAGTCATATCATTAGTAGTAAGAGTGACAAAAGGCTTACAGGTAGAGCAGCTGTAGCAGCAAGAGCAGTGTGCAAGGTATTACTACACTACATATCAAATGTAACAAAGCTCGACAAGGAAAGCTTACTTTAGAGCAAGATGGGCATGGTAGTGGAGTGAGGCATCTGGCGAGGCAACCAGAGCAATGGGTGCGCAGAGAAGAGTCTAGATGGAGCACCCTACTATAACCCTCTTCAACCACTAACACCTCGCCTGCAAAGTTTTCCCCCTAAATGTTACTTTACCTTGCATCAGCACCTATTCCATGTCTGTCTTCATGCAAAGATAACAAATTGGGCTTAAAATGAAAATGAAAAGCTCCACTCTGAGCAGGACATTCAGGGAAATTTTGACCTAAGGCAAGCTCCATCTTGATTTGATATAGGGTACAATAGACACCTTGACAGAATCTTGTCAGTCAGGGCAGGGTGACATTCTGCACAGATGTAACAGGAGTCTGTTATTGAAACTGGTGCTTGGGAGGCACTAGAGAAAAGCTCACTCCAGTCCAGAGTAGTCTCGGAAGGACTATTCTTGCCATTTTTGGCATAAACACTGTCAAGTAGTGCTATTGTTGACTACCAGTTAGAACACCTGACTGCTGCTCCAACTGCCACTGGGATAACAGCACCCACATAACAATGGATTCTCTTATTTGTACCTAATATTCTGACCAATGCAAGGTCTGATTCATGAGCTATCTTTTAAGCTACCCAAAATGAGAGTGGAATGGAAGTAAAGCAAGAAAGAAAATGGTTATGACTCTGAACAATAGAGTGGTGATTAATGGAGCAGTTTGGGTATCCAGACATATACCAGAGGAGAAAATGGTCACAAGGTGGATGGAAGAATACCAACTACAGTACAACAAACTGGTAGCAAAGGTAACGAATTGTTGGCAAATGCCAAAGGGGTGGTTGGACCACCATAGTCAAGAGTGAATGGATACTGGAATAAAACATTGCAAAGAACACTAAGAGTGGCAACCTTTTGCAGGTTGTGTGCTCGAGGATTCACCTGCAGCTGACTTGGCTTGATCAATCTGCAGAGCAGCTTAATACAGGAACTCATGGCACAGTATCTGTATAGACAAACCAGGACCGAATGAAAGTAAAACCCCTTCAGAAGGAATGTGTTTAAATTGTTTGCCAAGAAGCTGGCTTTAGAATGAAGGCACAAAAACATTTCCATACCTAAAGAACTACAGTATATGGAAACCATTAGCTAGAGTGAGTAGAAACATAATTTGAAGGGTGATGTCCTCAAAGAAAGGAGTTACCCAAAACCTATTTAGACCTAAGAAGTCTAACATCCTATTACGAGATCAGATGGTATCCAACAGAAAATGGTAGGAGCAGATGTGGAAAAAGCCTTCATAGTGCTATGTTTCATAGACAGAGCACTAGATATACCGAGACCAAAATCAAGGTGAAAAGTAGCCAGGTAAGTTAAACCGCGGCAATGCACAAGCCCATGGTACAATGAAACCCAACTTTCAAAGGAAAACAAAAGTTCCTAGGGTGAACAGATTTCTGCCTGTCAAACATGCATGAGACCAGTCAGAATGTAAATTAACTAGAGCTAAAGTTTTTATGCTGCCACCTTGTGATGGTCAGTGGTAGCAGGCCAACTAGCAGTTGGCAAGAACAGTGCTTGGCAGCCTCAGAGATGGCAAGTAGAACTCAGAAGGGCATTGAGTTGTTATATTGACTAAGCTTTCTGGAGGTCATGCCAGGCTGGACTGTATATTCTTAAGTGTCTTCCTTGAACTAATATGACCCAGCAGGGACAATTGAAAAGGTCTGCTATACCAGTGAAAACTGTCAACCAGCATTAACAGACATCAGGCAGGACTCGTCCTTATGAAGTACTGTACTGACAAGAGTTTAAAGATGCATAGTATAGTTAAAGTTTTACATTAGATACACAGTAGTTAAACTGCAGAGTTTAAATACTGTATATCTTGTTTGTTTGAGTTACAGAAATTACAATTTTATTTTTTACTGTACATACTGTACTGTAGACTATTAGTTTGTGGCTAAAATAGTCAATAAAATCTTTCCAATTAATATTTTGCAATCTGAGGGTTATTTATATTTAGGTTTAATCATAAATGATTTATGAAAGTGTAATTAATGCAAGTAATTTGGCACAATGGTACTAACATTTCAAATTACAGTATATTGTCATAATACACAATAATATAATACTGTAGTTGTGTGTGTGTGTGAAAATTTCAATATTATACAGTATTTGGGGACATTGTCTGTAGGGAACTGGGACATACAAAATGCCTCAAAGGAGATAAATTGGATCCACACCATGTAGGTTGTTCCACTGAATTTGAACTGTGTATATACAGCCTCTACATTACATATTTATGTGTGTGTGTAATATAATATTATATATATATATATATATATATATATATATATATATATATATATATATATATATATATATATATATATATATATATAATATATAATATATTTATGTTTTCTATTAATCATTAATTTTCAGCCATGTGACTGGCATATATTTTATTAACTCTTCATTACACAAACAATTACACTTCTGTAATAAAAAATAACACCAGGTTAAGAGCTGATGTTATTGAAGTTGACATTATCCCTAATAGGAATTTATCACGATTCTTGCAGGCAAAATTTTGTCTTCAATGAAGTTAACAATAAACCCAGTATTTCACTACCAAAGTTGTCATTACTTTGATCAATTGACTACAATACTATTACTTTTGCTACAAAACTATAAACCATATTTTCTATTTTTTACAATATTCAATAAAGTACAGTACTGTACAGCATTAGAATTAGAAGTCTCTTTATCTGCAATCACAAAATAAACATTCAATTGCTCCAAGTTACCTGCATAATCTTTTTTGACCTTAGATTCCATTAGCAACTATTCTCCCAAAGCCAAAATGAAGCAAAAGCTCAATGCATACAGTATATAACAAGTAACAAATGACCTTGTTTTTACTATCGTGCTGAATATACTGTAGCCTTATCTTGGCAAGTCATTTAAATAGAAACTTTTTTTTACCTTGTGCAAAATTCTTGGAAACATAATAAGCAATGAAATTAAAGTAAGGCATTAAAAAATAAGGCATTGTGAAAGGCACCTCCTTGTGAAGAGAAACTCCATTACTCCCTAGAGTAAGAATCTCGTATCAGAGTGGATTCATGAGGAGTAGGACAGACTGACATTCATTCTGTCCGACATGTTCATGACATTCAACCATCAAATGTGATCGCCTGAAAATGTTCTTAACAGACACCTATAAAGTAGCAAATATGAAAATTTATTGCAATATTAATTCAATTTGTAATTGGGTTGCCATTTAAATATTTATAATATGGAGTTGGTATTTTCTGAAGTCTAGACTTTACAATTTATCAAGTTATGGAAGTGTTTATATTACTGTTATAGGCCTACACTATTGTATTGCAATACACTGCAATAAATAATTTGACAGCAAACTGCATCTGAATATGCATCAGATAGTTAACAAATTACAGACAAAATCTTAAAAAAAATTTACTTTAGGGGAAAATTAAAATTTGCAAGAATTTAAAACAACATACCAAAGTAATAAATAATACAAATAGGGAAAAGCTCACCAGGGCTAATGTCTCTCTCAGCCACGAGGTAACGCCCCTGCATGGGGGAGAAGGCCAATCTGACTGCACTGGCCATGGAAGGTATGGTGGGATTAGGATGCAACAGTTCAGGAGGTTTCGGAGTTTTATATGTAAACAATAGCTTCTCTTTAGTGGCTGATGACAAGTATGATGGCATATTAGTGCAGTCTGGTTCTGAAGGAGAATTAGCTGGTCCAACTTCCTCACATTTTTGGAGCAACTGATGTAACGCATCCCGTGATGCCTTGGTTTTTGTCTCGTCTAATGATATGACATTCAAAGCTTGAAGTGAAGACTGTAACAACTGCTTTGCTTCTGTTTCTTTTCTTTGAGATATAAGACATTTTGCCTTTCTCTCTGCTAACTTACTGTGTAACAACTTTGGATAGCCATGCTCAAGTGCCATATCAATATCATTAATACATTTTTCATACTGCTCCAACTCGAATAACACTGCAGATCTATTAGCGTATCCAAGTGCCAGAGATCTATAAGTATCTTCATTACTTTTGTCAAAACCTTCAGGCATTGGCAAAGTTTTTATGTTATTGCTGTTGTCATAGTTAGGATCCGCCTGGGAGTTTCTGTTCATCTGAGAGAGTGTTGGATGTGGTGCAGACATTATGCTGAGATTGTAAAGTTTTAATGCCTTATCAAGAATTTTCTTCTGGTAAAATCTATTACCCTCTGCACGAAGTCTCTCTGATTCAGCATCAGATTTGCTTGTATCCGTGAGAGATGGTCTAAGGTAAGTGTGCGCTTCGTCTAAGCCCCAGAGGTATGAGAACATGTCTTCAAGACTGTGCTCGGGGCTAAAGTGGCTGCTCACCTCCTTTACTTTGTCTAACTCTTTCAGTTTCTTGATAAAGTTTGCAAACATTTCTTGGAAGCAGGAAGCTTGAGCCATGCTGTATTTTTATGTTCTTCCTAATTCAGTTGAAAATAATCCTGGAAAAGAAATGCTGTATAAATAATTTATCAACAAAAAGCATACATAATATAATCAGAATATATATATGTATGTATGTAATATATGTGTATAGAAACGTGTGTGTGTGTGTAATTACCTAAGTGTAATTACCTAAGTGTAGTTACAGGATGAGAGCTACGCTCGTGGTGTCCCGTCTTCCCAGCACTCTTTGTCATATAACGCTTTGAAACTACTGACGGTCTTGGCCTCCACCACCTTCTCACTTAACTTGTTCCAACCGTCTACCACTCTATTTGCGAAGGTGAATTTTCTTATATTTCTTCGGTGTGTGTGTGTGTGTGTGTGTGTATATAATTGCCCAAGTCTAGTTACAGGATGAGAACTATGCTCATGATGTTCCCATTTTCCAAGTACTCTTTGCCATAAGATGCTTTGAAACTACTGATGGTTTTGGCATACACTGCCTTCTCAACTGTTCCAACTGTCTACCACTGTTTACAAAAAAAAAAAAAAAACTAAGAAAAAAAAAATTCCACACCATTGTTTCCTTATAACATGAATCGTTAATCTCTTTCATGCATATATACATACATAAGCATTTCTAGTACCTCTAGAAACACTTATGTTTACTCTACATATACCCCGGTTATAGCCTATTAAATGACTAATTAGAAGTCCTAAATCATGATGTGCATTACAAAAATTACTTTTTGTATATTAGTACACACACAGTCGCATATGGGAATTTGAGCACACGAGGTAATTGCAGATAGCAATTGGAACCATTTAAGGCTTAAATGCTTAGTGAACACAAGCACAAGTGCCTAAACTTCTTGTCCTGACTGAGAATTAAACTAGGGACCATTTGGGTGTGAGAACACTACACTGTATGTTTGTGTGTTTACCTGTGGGCTACCATTTCTAGTGTACCCTATAGAGATAGTAAACTAGTGGTTTGTTAAAAGACCTCCATTATTCTTGAACATTTTTACTACTTGGATTTTTAACTGGAGTACTGTTAAAAGTACTTCATCACTTATGGCTATGACAGGTAGGAAGTTTCATATATTAATTATTCAAAATGTGAAAAGCATCTCCCATTGTCTGTCCTACATTGTGGTTTAAAGCTGTTGCCCCTTTGTGAGTGTTACACTGAACCTTTGGAAGAAGTGATCTGGATTAATGGCATCCAATTTATTTAGGGGAATTTTAAAGGTCTTGATGGGATAAGTCCTATTGTCTGGTTTGAGGTGTTGTTAGTCATGAGACTCTCAACCTGTCTTGATATAATACTGTATAATACTTTATCAAAATTACAGAGGATCCAATTACAAAGATTTCATAGCAGATACATATTTGTATTTGGTATAAAGCCACCATTGATCTTTGTCACCTGCAAATTTTATGAGGTTTATAGGGTCTCGTAGCACAGTTGGGTTTAAGCTCAACTTACAATTGGGAATCGTGGCCTTGATTCCCAGGTGGCACAAATCGTTTCCTTTCACCTAATGCCTCTTGTTAACCTAGCAGTAAATAGATACCCAAGAGTTGGAACTGTTGAAGGGTTGCACCCTGGTAAAGGTCAATAGTTTGATCTTGGGAGGGACCTTGATACAAGCCTAAAGTCTGTGTGTGTACAGTGGGAATTAATGTTGTTGATAATACTTTACAAAAACGGTTGGCCACAAAATAGAACTTCACAGTATTCCACTCTACTCATTTTCCAGAAAGATTCTTTTACTTAGTTTTCTTTTGATTTAACCATCATTTCATTCTAGTATTGTTTATTCCACATGCTCGTTTGTTTTGCTAGTCTTTTACATGGTACTTTAAAAGTTAAAAAAAGTCAATGTAAACTAAAAATAAGTTGCTTAGGTTAGAGAATGTACTTGTGGTCATTCTTGAACTTTTTGTGTTACATTAACATTACTTCACTTAAATGATGAATTAAATGTGCAACTAGCATATCAAGAATATAACTTGCTTAGCTAAATGAATTTTGGGGTTCAGTCCATGAGCCCATTATGTGCCTTGGTAACCTTTTCTACCACTGCCCACACAATAGGTATGGGGTGCATAATCTATTCACTTATCTGAACTTTACTAAGCCGCAGGCAAAACTTTAGCCCACTCTTATCTACTAATGTTGACGCTGAAATTGAATTTTAAATAACCATGTTCCTCTTCAAATATCAAATTCCATTCCTTAACATCTCTCTCTCGAGATAGTCAAGTTAAGTAGCCCAGTATACAACTCTTTCCTACCATTTGGTCAAACTTAAGATTGTGGTAGGTCAGCTTAGGTCTAGATTTAAGTATTATTTCCCTGATCATTTTTGGCTGCAAAGAAAAGGCGATAACATCTAGGTCAGAAAGAGCTGTAGAAGAAGCTAAAGTAGTAGATAAAATTGTTGGCCTCGTGGAAGGTCTTACAAACAGAGAGAATGTGTGCGACTACAGGAGAATAGGCAGGTACGTAAAAGGGAAAGATCGACCTTTGAGGATCACCCTAAACGGTGCCAAACAGATGGAAGAAGTACTAAGGAATGCTAGAAAATTGCAAAGGGATGAGGATGGGAAAGGGTGGTCATTAAGACGAGATCTTTCAAAAGAAGATAGAGAGAAGCTGAAACTGAACCTCGCCGAGGCAAAACATTTAAATGAGAGCAGGAATGAAGAAGAAATAAATTCTTTTTTCTACAAAGTGATAGGGGTAGGCAAACCAGTAAAGTGGTACATAAAGGCAAACCAACAAAATCAATAGAGAGAGGGGGAGTGAAGAATAAGGAGAGGGGGAACAAGTTCCTGAAGATTGCATACACCAACATAGATGGAGTGAGATCGAAGATACTGGAGTTAAGTGATGTAATACAGCTGCAGACACCAGACATTGTTGCACTCACGGAGACAAAACTTGAAGATGTAATTTTAAATGAGGTCATATTCCCAAGGGGCTACTCAATTTGGAGACGGGACAGAAAAATTAGGAAAGGCGGTGGCGTTGCTGTGCTGGTAAAAGAACACCTAAAGGTGAAGGAAATAATGACTGCCAATCCACAAGAAGTTGACATAATAGCACTAGAGATCTGCTATGAGGATGATAAACTAATGATGATAAATGCATATAGTCCACCGCCAAGCAGCACATGGTCAAAGGAGGAGCTAGATAGTAAACGTGAAGGTCTTATAACAATAATGAGAGAGATTATAGCGAGAGCGGATAACGATAGATCACGACTGTTGATAGTCGGTGACTTCAACTTGAAATCCATAGACTGGGAAGCATATGAAGCTAAAACAGAAGATTTTTGGACCTGTAAATTTGTAGACCTCATCCTGGAAACATTCTTGTATCAACATGTTAAACAAGCTACGAGGATGAGGGAAGGGGACGTTCCCTCCATGCTAGATTTGATATTTACCAGGAAGGAGGAAGAGATATTTGACATTCAGTACCTTCCTCCCTTGGGTAAAAGTGACCATGTCTTTTTGGGAATAAAGTATGCAATGCGTTATAAGCTGGAAGAAAATAAGGAGGTTGAAGCAGTTGAAAAACCAGACTTCAGGAGAGGACATTATGGTGACCTTAGAAATTTTTTTAGTGAGTATAATTGGACAGACTTGATGCTAGGCAAGGAAGTGAATGAGATGTATGGCAAGTTTTGTGAAATATATGATAAAGGCACAAAAAAATTTATACCAAAACAGAGATGCAGAACTAGGAAACAGGATTGGTTCAATAGAAATTGCGAGAGGGCTAGAGACCGAAAGACACAAAAATGGAATCAATACAGGAAGAGGCCGAACCCCCAAACATACCAGCGATACAAAGATGCGAGAAACAACTACACGGCAGTGAGGAGAGAGGCAGAAAGAAATTTTGAAAAAGGGATTGCGGACAAATGTAAAACAGAACCAGGTCTATTCTATAAATTCATAAACAACAAATTGCAGGTAAAGGATAATATTCAGAGGTTGAAAATGGGAAATAGATTCACGGAAGATGAAAAGGAAATGTGTGAAACACTAAACGAAAAGTTCCAAAGTGTGTTTGTACAAAATGAAATCTTTAGGGAACCAGATACAATAAGAATTCCAGAGAACAACATAGAACACATAGAGGTGTCTAGAGACGAAGTGGAAAAAATGCTCAAGGAGCTCGGTAAGAACAAAGCAGCTGGCCCAGATGGCGTTTCACCATGGGTTCTGAGAGAATGTGCATCTGAGCTCAGCATTCCACTTCACCTGATCTTTCAGGCATCCCTGTGTACAGGAATCGTAGCAGACGGGTGGAAACAGGCTAACATAGTTCCAATCTACAAAAGTGGCAGCAGGGAAGACCCCCTCAATTATAGACCTGTATCATTGACAAGTGTAATAGTGAAAGTATTGGAAAAACTAATCAAAACTAAATGGGTAGAACACCTAGAGAGAAATGATATAATATCAGACAGACAGTATGGTTTTCGATCTGGAAGATCCTGTGTATCGAATTTACTCAGTTTCTATGATCGAGCCACAGAGATATTACAGGAAAGAGATGGTTGGGTTGACTGCATCTATCTGGACCTAAAAAAGGCTTTCGACAGAGTTCCACATAAGAGGTTGTTCTGGAAACTGGAAAATATTGGAGGGGTGACAGGTAAGCTTCTATCATGGATGAAAAATTTTCTGACTGATAGAAAAATGAGGGCAGTAATCAGAGGCAATGTATCAGAATGGAGAAATGTCACAAGTGGAGTACCACAGGGTTCAGTTCTTGCACCAGTGATGTTTATTGTGTACATAAATGATCTACCAGTTGGTATACAGAATTATATGAACATGTTTGCTGATGATGCTAAGATAATAGGAAGGATAAGAAATTTAGATGACTGTCATGCCCTTCAAAAAGACCTGGACAAAATAAGTATATGGAGCACCACTTGGCAAATGGAATTTAATGTTAATAAATGTCATGTTATGGAATGTGGAATAGGAGAACATAGACCCCACACAACCTATATATTATGTGAGAAATCTTTAAAGAAT